CAAGTAAGTGTTAGAGACGTGACAGCTTCTCTCTGAAAACCACCATCGCCCTTGTTATTAAAGGGGAAGTATACCCTAAAATCAAATTTTCACCAGTTGTAGTCTTCGGGGTGCTGAGTCGAATGGTCTTGGTCCGAGGAAGCTGAGACGCTTCCTTCCTCCTTTATTCCCAATCGAACTCGCGCACTTCCACCGAAACTGGGTGACTGCGCCCTACTAGATGGGGATTTGTATGCAAAATGTCACTAACAGCGCCATTTCGTTCTTATAAAAGTACGGATGACCGCCATTGGCCCATATGTTGTAGTCTTTTGGACGCTGAGTCGACTGGTTTTGGTCCGAAAAGGCTGCGATGCAGCGTTCCTCCTTTATTCCGAATCAAACATGGTTGAACAAGCGGTCACGTGCTCCTGCGTACACCAGTCACCTGGTCACCGTGCCTGCAGGGTACAACTTGCTAGCCTGTTTGACCTTTTTTGGGTGCAGTCCTGTCACTCGAGTTGAACCGTGGTGTGAAATAGTTGTCGCCTGCCGGCGCGGTGACCAGGTGATTTGGGCACCCAGGAGCACGTGACCGCTTGTTCAACCATGTTCGATTGGGAATAAAGGAGGAACCCTACATCGCAGCCTTTTCGCACCAAAACCAGTCGACTCAGCGCCCAAACGACTACAACAAATGGGCCAATCGCGGTCATCCGTGCTTTTATAAGAATGACATAGCACTTTTAGTGAGATTTTGCATACAAATCCCCATCTAGTAGGGCGCAGTCAGTGCCAGTCACCCAGTTTCGGTGGAAGTGCGCGGGTTCGATTGGGAAAAAGAAGGAAGGGAGCGTCGCAGCTTCCTCCCACCAAGACCATTCGACTCAGCACCCAGAAGTCCACAACTGGTGAAAATTTGATTTTAGGGTATACTTCTCCTTTAAGTGCTGCAAACTACACTTAGACCTGGGGTCCCCCACGAGAAGAAAATGAATGCAACGATCTCTATATTTGGTCTTTTGATTACCTGTTTGCTGGCCAGATTTACGTACTATACGTACCCTGTAACTTGACTGTAAGGAGTGATGGCATTTATATCGACTCTGGCACATAGCAATAAGGCTCCTTTGTTTTATCATCTTCTGCGTCTTCTGCGTGAACAGGTGTGTTCCTTATCTCAACCCTTGGTATGCGGAGGAGAGGCTCCAACGGATCCAACGTTGCCTGCAGATTTGCCAACATTGCCGCCTGCTCAAGCCGCTGACCTTGATGCTGCTATGGCGTCAGTGCGAGGTGCTCTTTGCCCGCCGTAGCGGCAAACCGAACCAGTCAGGAGTTGAATTGAACGCCGTTATTGACGTGATGGGTGCCAACATTGAACTTTGCTAGGCTTGCACTCATGGATACAGGCTCCTATTGATCCCCTCGTTCTCCCTCGTATGTAACACAATAACGGAGAGTATTTTTCTCCTCATGCCCAAGCCTCTTGTACGGGAAAAATACACACAAGAGCAACCTTAACAACCGATATTGAGCTACAAGGGCTGTGAACAGAGACTGATACCTAGATAACGGATATTGAGCTACAAGGGCTGTGAACAGAGACTGATACCTAGATAACGGATATTGAGCTGCAAGGGCTGTGAACACAGACTGATACCTAGATAACGGATATTGAGCTGCAAGGGCTGTGAACACAGACTGATACCTAGATAACGGATATTGAGGTAAAAGGGCTGTGAACACAGACTGATACCTAGATAACGGATATTGAGGTAAAAGGGCTGTGAACACAGACTGATACCTAGATAACGGATATTGAGCTAAAAGGGCTGTGAACACAGACTGATACCTAGATAACGGATATTGAGGTAAAAGGGCTGTGAGCACAGACTGATACCTAGATAACGGATATTGAGCTAAAAGGGCTGTGAGCACAGACTGATACCTAGATAACGGAGATAACGGAGAGTATTCAGTCTTGCAAACCTGTAACTACATTGTTTTTCCCCTTCTGCTTCATAGGCATTTCAGCCATAAATTTATTTAGTTGCAACCCGAACGGAACCTTAGACCGCACACGTGCACCTTTCCAGATCTCTATGTTCCTGTAAATGAACTATGTAGGGAACACATTGTGTACATGTTTTCCTGAGGCCACAAGTCCAAACCCCCTACCAATGATGTTCAATTTTATACTTCAAGTTAGTTTCTTTCCTAGGTCTGGTAGTGCAAAGCTTGGTATATCTACATGTTACCTCAATTTACATGTTCATTCTCCCTCTCCAACCGGCATTCCAGCTTATCCACGCCGAACGAGCGGTCATGTTACCTACGACACATTTTTAGCAGAGATCGACACACCTAAATAGAAGTGGCTTGCAATCCTGATGAACGCACGCAGTAGCTGATCGCTCAGGTATATCTAGGTTTGAGGCCTGGACGCTTACACCAGTTTGGTGTCATCTCCGGGAAATACAATCAGTAACGTTAATGTAGTTTCATCGTAATGTACTCACATTTTCCGTCCTTACCGGTGCAGAAACATGTACCAGTAAATCGATAAGCTGACATAAAATGTTCCGCTCTCTTGTTCAATTTTACAATGTCTGAATAAGGTGTTTGTACAGTCTTTCTTCCTCGCGAAATAACCTATAAACTGCGGCAAGAGGCTCCAGCAGATATGATTGTGTGATCCCACGTAGTCTTGTCGGTAAAGCACCGGAATGGAAAGCTAGGGGCGGTGAAATTGGATCTTTATTAGGGAACGATGTTTGCCAAATTAGCGCCAGGAAATTGCTGTAATACTCTTGCCCATACCTACCCCTCTCCGCGTAAGTACATACATCTTGACAACACAGCCTGTTGGATCTGGGTATTTCGCGTAGCAAGAAAAGGCCGCGAGTGTGTTGCATCCACGAAACCAAATCGGTGGGGATCTCTTCTGTATTATGAGATAGGCGTGCTACCCTCGAATCCCGCCCGTGGATCCTTCTTATTAAAATCGAATATGTAGGTAGAAGAGAAGGCTCTCAGCTTGCGACCTCAACAATCGCTGAAGCGATTGGATCAACGACCATGGAGTTATGGTACTAGACAAATACACAAAATCCAAACGTGCTCAAAGACCTTTCTGCGCAATGCTTGGTACCTTGCCTCTTGGTGTCATGACAACTTAAGTACAAATGGAGTATTAGTCTTGCGGGCATGTCGAGCTCCATACGAACAAGAAGAGTCGAATGGCGGTTAGAAGCAACCTTTCCTTGAATTGTGCAACTGCACCTTGGCTTTTGGGCTACTTCGCTTGGCTCTAGAGCTAGTCTCCAGCGTTATGAAGCAAGGTGCTTCCGCTCATCATTTTCCTTTTCGTAGTAGCTTTCCAGGAAGCTAACGACCTTGAAATTTAGCCACCAACTTTGCAAATAGCGTAATGCGAACATGTAGAAACAGACCTTTGAATAATTGACGCGAAACTGACTAAATTGGTTCCCTTATTCAACTACCTAATGTTGAGTTCTATGAAGTCAAGCATGAAAGCCAACAGCCGCTTACGACTATCAACTCTTGCCTCGACAACCTTTCCGAGAAGCAGCCGATCATATTTTAGGTGTGTATAATCAATATTATGTACGGTGGTGTTAATGTAACTTAACCAGGCCTATAAAACAAATATCTACTCCTACTGATCAGTATTTGGAAAGACTGGGGCTCACCATGTTGAACGTGATCATGCAGTATTACTGCCCGGTGTCGCCGATTGGACTTGTAATCTTAGTAATGCCTAAAGCGTATACACTGATATACATGTACCGGTGCTAGCAAGAGAACCCTTGATACTGTGTTCTATCACAAGAGTCACACCTAGCACACACCCTCAAAGAGACATACCCAATACACACAGTGATAGATATCATAGTACATGATTGTAGTCTTGTAGATAATGCCGGTCGTTTGCCGGTGACGGGTCAGAACGGCATGATGTGTTTCACTGTCAGTTCTGATCACACCGTCATCGTTGCACTCTGCTGACAGTGAGGAACTTTCAACACCCGCTATAGAGTAAGTTTGGTACAGGGAAAATACCTTAGGTAGTAATCAAGAGTTTGCAAAAGCAACCCAACAGCTTGTGGAACTGTCGCGCAAGACGATGCGCCCCGTCAGTTATGCTACTGCCAGAACATAATATAACTCAATCTTTCTCTATCTTTCTAGATCAGGACAGAACTACCGGGCCTAAGAATACGATTATGTTCATCCAGTATTGCCCCTCCTTGTATACGATGCCGATCGTTTGCCGATTAGACCAACAAACATGCTCACTGGCAACGCCTGTTCTATTCGCTACGGTAAAGCACCACATTGCCAACACGCCGGAGTCTTCACAGCAGCCCCAAAAGCAGATCTAGACTACATGTACAGACATGTATGTACAGATTTAATACATGTGATCACTACTGTCGTTACATAGTCACATCAATGTCGGTGAATCGCGATCTGCTCTCCTCTGCAGTCATGCCCGTTTGATACTCGAAGTAAGCGCACAGGCTTACACTTTGGAGAAATCAGCCTCAGGCTCTATTGTCAGATTTTCCTCAGGGCACGGGGATAATAATCATAAAGAGTACTGGCACAATATTGTAAGCTAGGGTTGAAAGGCATTAAAAGTGGAAATTAATATATCACGTCACTAGTAGTGTTCATCGCTGTTCCCTTAGAAAGGATATTTACCAAGTATGAAGAAGTTATGGATTACATTCGTCTTCATATTATGCTTTTTCGACTCTTTTACACTGAGCACTAGGGTGTATGGGGAATTTGCAGTTCGATCCGACAGCGACAGTAACAGTGCCTCTTTTGAGAGTTCTTCTGTTGACGATGATGTTGGGCCCTGTTTCCTCACCCAATCCTGAAACCCTGGAAATATCCTGCAATCAGCTCAACCAAATGAGTTCGACCTGATACGAACTGCTCTAGAGTCCATTTCCTCTGTAAATGACCTTATTTTGTCGCTCAGTGAGATGCTAGGCCAGCAACGGGATGTCGAAGTCGGTGGAACGCCTGTTGATATGGTGGATTGCTACCTTTCAACTGAAGGTGGACCCTTTCCAACGGAGCAGCGTATTAACGCCAAAGGTAACCTCGGATTTTCCCTAGTCATCGTACCTGTTGAGGGCATCGACGTGTTGGTCTCTTTCATCTTTACCGGCCTGCCGTATTCATTTGGAGAGCTTCGCTATGATGTAATTCTGGTCAATGACGGTGAAGAGACACTCGTCTCTGTAACGCCGCGTTTTCGCGCCACCAATGGAGACGTTTTTGATCTGTTCCTTTCTGGTGAGGTATGTCATTATTGTTGCTGCCAATGTCAGATGTTTTGTCAGATCAGTCGGAGAAGTTACCAGTAGATCTTCACCTCAGTAATCTATGCATAATGTAGATACCTTGACGTTTGGAGACATCATATAAATCATTGTTGCTACATTGAGTTAATCAGCTGAGCAATCCAGGAATTGGCTGCTGAAAAGTGATGATAACAACATTTGGTTATTGGGGGGAAATGCTGAGGTTGGTGTTCATTAGTATGTTTCAGCAATGACGCAAGTAAGCTCCTTCAGGCGGCCTTAACAAAGCATGATCTGCGAAATCTTGAGATCATTCTCTTTCATAATTCCTCCGTTAACAAAAACTTCGTGATGGATTTTGATGGATATGAAAATGCTTAGAACAGGTCCAGAACAGTTTGTATCGACTACAAATCACTGGACGAAGGTGATTCAGCCTACGTACAGCGTCTTTACAAGAGAAACTGTTGGCGGAATGAGCAGAGAGTTCAGTTTGCGTCGCTTTTGCTTGACTCATTTTTGACCTTGCGTCGCTGTCGTCATCTGCTGCACGCGAGTCGTCATCTGCTGCACGCGAGTAGTCATCTCTCTCGAATCATTGTTCAGCTCATTTCAGCCATGGCTCGGCTTCTTTGATCACACTCCGCTGACCTTGATGACGCCGTCGTTCAAGTAAGTAGTTGGCTTTCAAGCTGCGTGATCCGCCGTGATGGCGATTCCTCGTTTCCACCAGGGGGTCGTAAAAATATTTTCCTCAAGATCGCAACCAGACCCTCCTGACGATAATTTTGCCACCTGATCTGTATGGTCCTATACCGGGGCTATACAATGAACTCGTTTTTGGTGTGGGGTTGCGATCACCTGTCACTCGGACTCACTCAACCCCAACTAAAATATTGATTTTGGTTTCAATATTTAGAGTTAACGGGGAAATTAGTTCACAAAGGATAAGCAGCAACATAATATTATCAGAGATGAAAATATGAATGGGAAGCTTCACGAGGACGAATTGTAACAAACCGAACGCCGATATCCTACAGTCATGTACTTAGTTGATGACAATGATGGAGTACCTAAACGCAATAACATGTGTAGTATCACACGACGTGATCATATTGAGGCTGGTTGCTGTTTTGCGTTGTCGAATTTTTATTATTATTATGAAATGACCCAAAGGCAATGTGCCTATCGAGGGGTTCATTTGATTGAAATAACAGTAGATGTAGATGTATGTACAAAGACAAGTAGGGATTGATGAGGAGAGAAATGGGGGAAATCAACTGCAAGGTGGCGGAATTCCGTTGATTGCATAAGCAGGGTCAGCTGTAAATTTCCTGAGGGCAGCTTTGAACTTATAGAGCGAGGCTTCCGATGTTAGACTGGGGGGTAAACAGTTCCATAGAATAGCAGTTCGGAACATGAAAAGGGACTTAGACAATGATTAAAATTTGGGAAGAATGTTTTTATTTGGTCGTCGCTCATTATCCGTAATCTTGAAATGGAAATCAGCAAGGTAATCACGATGATGGAAAACGTATCTGTGAAAAGTAGTGAGACTGATTATTTGACGACGATAGGCTAGTGACTCTAGGGAGCATTTAGAATTTATGACAGATTTGGAAGAATTGTAATCAAATGCATTTTTTTCTTTTTCAGTAGAGCTCTAGCAAACCTTGCCTGTAATTGATCAAGAGTGGTGATGGGTTTCTTATTAAATCCAAAAGACCACACGGTACAGCTATATTCGATCGCAGGTCTTAAGAACCCTTTGTACAGTATGATCATTGCCAAAGGCGTAAGTTGCTGGGACATTATTGACAGTAGGTGCACTCGATATCTGAATTTCGAAGTTATTGAGGCGACATGTTTGCGGAAATCCAGGTTGTCGGTCAAGGTGACGCCAAGATGTTGCAGTTCAGAAACCACCGTTAATGGCTCATTGTACATTTGGTATTGGATTCCTGCAGTAGGTGTATCATTTGTAGCTCTATGGCACAGCACGGATGTCTTTCTTGCTAAGAATTCACCTCCATTGTTCCTGCCCCATGTTTGACATGCATCGAGATCAGACTGCATGCTCGCTCTACTGGCGAGGGTGTCTTCAGGTTTGTAAGCCAGTAGGAGGGTGACATCATCTGCAAATAGATATTGTGTGCAATGTTGCATAGCGTTGGTCAGGTCATTTATATTCAAGTAGAGTAGGAATAGGAGTGGTGAAATTTGGGAACCTTGAGGGACTCCGCAGTTGATGGTTCGCTTCTTCGATTTAGTGCTATGTACCTTCACTTCAATTTGTCGATCCCCTAAGAAGCTCTTCAGCCATTTTACTGACGAAGCTGTAGCAATCTTACCGAATTTCTTTAGGAGTATAGAGTGGTCGACCCGGTCGAATTCTTTCCTGAAATCTAGAGATATCAGGTCAAAATGAGTGCCATTATCAATATTTACAGCCATTGATTGGGTTAGCAAGATAAGGTGGTCCGTTACAGACTTGTTGCGTACATATGCGAATTGACCTTTACAAATTACACCATGGGTCATCAGGTATCGAAGAAGACGTTCCGAGAGGATCTTTTCCATTAGTTTTGCTATGCATGGGAGAAGGGATATAGGCCTGTAATTGGTAGGCTCTTTGGCGCAACCTCTATTCTTGTACACCGGTATTACGGTGGATGATTTCCAGGAGGGCGGGAACACACCATGATCAAGGCTGTAGTTGAACAATACTGATAGTGATTGGGAAAGGATGTCTGCGAATTGCTTTAATAAGCGGTTTGTCAGGTTGATGTCAGATGATGATTTATGTTGTTGCAGCCTCCTTGCTGCATCGAGAGACTTCAATAGGGCGTATATTTCCCAATCCAAATTTGTTTCCATCGACGTCGGCTTCATTGATTGTCATTCTAGTTGCTACAGTATTCGGCGGAGTTGACTCAGTGGTGCATTGGCGGGCAAAGAAGGTACACAGCGTTTCGGCCTTCGCTTGATCTGTTTTGTGAATTTCATTGCCGTTCTGCAGGTCTGGAATTGCCTTTTTATTTGTTTGGTCAATATTGCATAGGCATGTTTGCACCACGCATGGCTACCTTTTCTATCTTTGCCAAACATTGTGTATCCGAGCGTTGAAAAGTATGTGTCCTTGGCGGCTCTTACTGACCAGTGGTACAGGTTGCGCGAGAGTTTGTATTCAGCTCGTAAGGAATCGTTGACTGGCTCCTTTCAGTGGAGCACATAGAGGCGGTTAGTTCGCTGACGTTTTGTCTAAAGATTTTTTTTGTGAACCATGGTTGGTTCGACTGGGTGTTTGTCCGGTGTGTGATGGTCGTTGCTGCCTGAAATACCTGGTCCAGCAGTGCAGAGTAGGCTGTGCATCTGAAACTGATGTGCACCTTGGTGCATTGCATGCATTCGGTCAATGGTAGTGTGCTCAGTTTCTGCCTGAGGAGGTGCATGTCAACCTTTCTGGAGACTGCGGCTGCGTTGACAGTACTTCTAGATTGGCGTTTCTCTGGTGGAGAATATGCGCAAAATAGAGGACAGCGGTCTGCAATGGGCATGGATGTGTAACATGAAGTGACAAGATGGGGCATATTAGTTGTGCTTTGACCGTTCTGTCTGGTCGTACCGTCCCGTTATCGCATCAGGCTAACATTCCATGAAGTATTGAAATGTAGCTTGTGCTTGGCTTAATGGCGCTTGCCCCCCCCCCCCTCCCACTCTTGACATCAGCACTAATATCCATGAAATTTCCAAGTTGGAAGGCCATTGGTTAGCGCTATCGAGCAGTGCTCGAGTTGACTTTCATGCCGTGGAATGTCTCAGTACTCCTTGTCCGTTTTGTGCTAGATTGTGCACGTCTGACTGTTCAAAATCTGGTTTAGCTGGTGGACTCGATCACAAAACCTGTGCCCACATATTTCCATGTTACAACCCTCAAAATACCTTGTGGTTTGTACAAACTGGTGTTCTTTTATCAGTGCACGTAATACCGGTCGTTAGCCGGTCATCACGACGCGCTAAGCTGTTATGATCGCACATTCACTGCAGCATGCTACTGACATACAGGAACATTCAGCACTGGTCACAGACCTATTCGGATACAGTGCAAATAACTGCGGTGGCAGTCGCTGCTGGAGGAGAGCGCTCCACACCACAGTTTGCTCTGATGTTGGGTCGGTTCAGTTCGTAGGAATATTGTTTGTACACGCTAATGTGTGACGGCTATAATACTAATCCATGAACGCAAAACTCTCTCTCTATATACATATACGTCGCGGTGCGCAGACAAATACTGTTGTGGAATGAATTCCATAAGCATCTATCATCTGCTACCTCCCAAAGATGGGCTAGGCCAGGTCACGACAAAAGCAAAAATCTTAAATTCTCCCGACAATCCAGTGAGAGAGTAAGTAGTTGTATTGTTCTTGGTCCACCTCCCCTTCCTTGCGAGGCACCAGAAGCAGAAAATCGAGAGCGATCTGTGGCGGCGCCCCTAGTGAAATCTACTCAGGGCTAAATCTTTAATGTATTCTGCTTCAAATGCATCTGACTCCTGAAAGGGGAACTTCACCCAGAATCAAAAATTTATGATCCGTAGAGGTTTGGGCGCTGAGTTGAATGGTGATGGTCCCACTTCGATCCGACCAAGCGTCAAGAGGGTCGCAACCAGACTCTCTTGACAGCATGACATAGCTGTTTCTGTTTGTCTAAGTAGACTATTATAATGAAGTCCTTATTTTTGAGTTCGTAATCTGGCACATCACCCCTGCAATCCCCACCGCGAAAATTCTCTTCAGTGAAACGTTATGCCGAAATCGCACTACGTAAAAATCACCGTGTACAAATTGTCGTGCATATTTTAGCACACGTCGGTACCAACCACACTGCACTTTTCCGTCTGCATGGATGACGTTTTCAGGCGACCAGCATGTGACGTTGTCGTAGCAAAGCGTGTGCCACGCGCTGGAAAAGACTGAGAAATTCAAAAACAAATTGTATGAAGAAGATTTCTCCTCGCGTTGTTGTCGTGGCAAACATTGCGTCTGGAGTAGTTTGTTCTGTTTTGTGTCATGAAAATGCACTATTGCAGTAGCGATTTTCTGCGCTCTTTGGTAGTGTTGAAACGATCTCACCGGATACTCGTTAGCTCGCTCGCCAGAAACTCGGCTCGTTTGTGCGGCCAGCTCGTTTGCACTAACGAACACCGTACACCGTACTCCGTACACATGGCAGTACATGTCGACCGGGGAGTCGTATAATATTTTACGACTCCCTGGTCGATCGAGAGTCCAGTCCCGCGCAAAGTGAAAATCACTCGCAGTTACAGGTGACTGTATGTTGCATGAGTCCTTTAGCCCCGTACATATTCCCGTACGCACGCACTCCCCTACACACGTTCATGCACTCCCTACACATTCATGCACCCCTTTTCCCGCTCACCCTATTACCACTTACTGCATGCACCCCTTTTCCCGCTCACCCTATTACCACTTACTGCATGCACCCCTTTTCCCGCTCACCCTATTGCCTCCCTTACTGCATGCACCCCCTTTTCCCGCTCACCCTATTGGCGTATTGCCACTTACTGCATGCACCCCTTTTTACTTCAACAACTTAGATATAACCAGAAGGCTGCGCTTGCGCAGTGTAGTTAGTTCTCCTAGTTGATTCTC